GACCTTTGGACGACTACAAGTAAGACAAGATCAGCTTTACAAAGGCCTGATAAAACATGAAATTGAAGGTCATACAAGAGCATGAGCAAGGATTTCATGTGGAGATGTGCATGAGATTCTTCAACATGCTCGAGTACCCTTTGATACACGCAGTGATATTACCTGCCAGCCCACAGCAGCCAGCCGGGACTCCTAGGTTCTATCCCACTTCTGCTATCAACTTTTATACAGAGTAGATTGTTTTGTCAGTGCAGTTTTTCTTTTTGCGGCTCACTCATACAGTCTGCTATGCTCACCTAAATCTCAGAGGAAGTCAGCAGCTTCAGCTGTGATTTGGCAGTGGCTCTGAACTGTTCCAAAACATGCTCTGCTGGCTCTGCCTCCCACAGCAAGACAGAACAAGTGCTGCGCAGTGGGAGCAGGCGCAGCAGTCCTGAATCCTTGAGTATTCTGTTTCTGTTCCTTACATCTTAGCAATTCGTCATAAATGACCTGCTCTCCCTTGGCCATAATCCCTTCCTTTGCTTCAATCTCTTCCAGAGGCAACACCAGCAGAGCAGGCACCAAAGAAAGGCAGGACATGGATTCACACCTATGAAGTAACACAGTGACAGGCAATGGTGCGCATGTTCCAGGATGCACATCCCTCCATCCGTTAAGATCAGCCCCAAGAGCACATTCTCTGGAGTGATCCATTGTGCTACTAAGTGTGATTGTTTATCATGGGCTCTCCTTCAATCATCCCAGCCTACAATAAAATATTTTGTATATCCTTTAAGAAAAATTAACAGTGGGTTATCTACCTCCCGAATACCTAGGCCTCTAACTAAGCACGTCTGACAGAAGCATGGCAGGTCCACACACATAGGTTCACATGGTCAGCACGCAAACTGCTGGAGAACAAGGGAGATGTAGCAGGATTTCTTCATCTGCTCCCACTTTCAGAGAGAAGCCCATGTAGCCAGGCTTTTCCTCCCTTCACATTTGGAGAGCCATTTTTCCACAATTTGAGGCTCACAAACAGCTATGTACTTTTAGATTCAACAGGCTTGGATCCCAAAGGCTGAGAAAAGCTGCTGCAAAGGATGACTGCTGCAATAAAGCGATATTCATACATGCACATGTATATGTATATACATATATACACATACATTAAAAAAGCATATTTTGGTCTGCAAAGTCCCAGACACTGAGGGCTATTTTGGTTGCATTCATTTACATTCATCTGTTTCAGTCAGAGGGGAGTACCTAAAAATCCTTTGTTCAAGATGGTGCACAATCCGTATCAGAATCAATGCAATAGTGTGGTTTTGTGCTCAGCGATCTGGCAGAGCAGAAGTGCAAGGACCCTTCTGGTGGTTTTAGCGTTCTAGGTTCCTAGTATAGGAAACAATATAGCATTCCACATTTAGGTAAAGAAATTATTTTTCAGTATCTTAGTAGATGTATCTTATCATTACTGTCATGCATAGCACAGAAACATGTTAAAGTCTCTTACCAGCTCAAAGGAAACTTCACTTCGCAGTGCTTCTGTCCCTTGATAGTTTAGGCTGTGTGGTTTGATGATCAGGCAGTAGCAGCAGTGGTATAATAAAGCAGAGCTTACTGTGCCCGATTTTAAAGATAATCTCAAGAACCAATGAAAAACGGCTCCGATTATCAGATTGAGTTAAAGTAGCTGCATCTGCAATTACTCATTAGTGTCGGAGAAGCTGAGGAATTTCTGTTAAAGGGTTAACATTTAAAAGGCCAAGTAATTTGTCGATTATAAAAGTACCTTCATGCAACATTTATATAAAAAAAGGCCAACAGAAGATCTCTCTAAGTGACCTAAAGCCATTTCCTAGCCTTGTCTGAATGTGAGGTGAGATTGCTTCTATCCAAGGCTGCTGCCCAGCTGGGCTCGGGCACCTGAGACATCCTGGGCTGCCCCGTCCCATGCTTCCTCCACAGCCTGGTGCTACGCTGTGCTCAGAGGGGCAACGCGGGAAGCAAAGGCGAACAAGCATTGCAGCGCTTCCATGTCCAGATCCTAGAGTGTACAAGGAACAGATCCTTCCATACCCAGCTGCAGTGCTGCGGTGGTAGCGTTACACTCAGCATCCATCAAGTCAGCCATGTACACGGGTCCGGTGCCAGGGAAGGGGAAGGGGGAAGCAGGCAAAGCACAGACTGAGTAACAGTCTGCCAGTATTAGCTTTAGGGGCCAAAAGACAGGAAGACAGGGGCCATGCAGTAATGGAGATGGAGGTTTCCACATTGCTACCACAGACTGAGTTACGGTGCTTCTCCCAACACTAGCTTTTGGGACATCCCCACCCAGCAAGACCCCTGCCACCCTCCATGAGGCCCCATGGTTACCTGTCTAAATGCATGTTACATTTTCTATAGTTACAACAATCCTGAACAGGAGCAGGAACAGAAAGCCCCTAAAGTGCAAGCAGCCTTCAGGGTGTCATTGAAGCTACTAAGACCCGCTGCCTCGAACTGTCCAGATGCCTGTAGTTCACCTGCCACAGCAGAAAACATCTTGTCTCCTATAGAGACAAATTGTGTCCCTGCATCTTCCCAGCCTACTGCCACAGGTCTCTGTAGAGATGCTGTGGCTGTGTAAGACCCTCAGCTCTTACCATGGAAGTGGCTGGAAAGCTGCCTGGTGGAAATAGACCTGGGGGTACTGGTTGACAGCCGGCTGAATATGAGCCAGCAGTGTGTGCCCAGGTGGCCAAGAAGGCCAATGGCATCCTGGC